GTACTGCATTGAAATCTCCAGCAACAAGCCATGGTTTGTTAATGCCTACAGCTACTTCTTTCAGATGTTCCCACAGTGATCTCCTATGTTCTATAGTATTGAAGCCATATACAATAGTAAGAAAGCAGTTGATGCCTCCTATTCTGCTTGTGACTTCACAATGTAGTATTTGTGCTTCAGCTCTCATCATCTTAACTTCACACCATTGTGAATCCCAAACCAGCCAGATTCTTCCATTAACTGCAGCCTGATAATTGTCATAAACCTTCCATGTTGGATCAATTTTCTCTTTGGTCTTCTTAGAGTTATGTTCTTTAACTCTTGTTTCTATGAGCCCAGCTAATCTAATTTTTTTTTATTTTTAAGTAACTCCTCAGTTCCCTTTGCTTATATCTCTTATTTATTCCCCTAACATTCCATATTAACCAATTCATCATGCAGTTTTGGATCCCCCTCCTCTATCTAGAGGTAGGTCTTGATCTTCACTATATCCTCCATGTAGCACTCCAAAACCATTTTTGGTAGGAACAGAACATAATATGGGAAAGTTTTGAAGATTGAACGCAGGGCTTTCAATAGCCTTCCCTTTATTCTTTTCTGGTTGCTCTTCTATTCTATTTCGAGGAGTAGCATTCACCTTCTCATTTACTTGCTGAATATGTTGCTTATTCTCCATCGTTTGCTCTACTTGTTTCTCAGCTGGCAGAGTTTGATGCACAGGACCTTTGTACCTCCATTCCTGTGTGACAGTTTTGTTCCTCTTCCTTCTATGTTGAACATCCTTTTGGCCTTCACCCGCTTCCTTTTCCCTACATTTGTGTCCAACTACTTGACAGATTCCACAAAATCTGGCTTCCAATCATATGTCACCTGTTGTTAGAAGTATTTTCCTTTTGGATCAATCACTGTAATTTCATCAGGGAGAGGACGACTAATATTTATTTCTACAAGCATTCTCGCATAAGAAATTCTTGACTGTTTTGGGGTGCATTCATCAGCAAATATAGGAGTCCCCAATACACTGACAATTCTACTCAAAGACTTACTACCCCAGCAGTTCATAGGTAAGTTAGGGAATTTTACCTACAATGGTATCTCAGTAGGAAACTCTCTGTTGAAATCAAAATCTGCTGTCCATGGCTTCAAAATTATAGGTCGATTGCTGATAGTATATGGCCCATTGTAGTATACAGCATGAATGTCAGTTATAGAATTAAATCGAATCACATAGCATCCCTCATCATGGAAATATATTTCTGGTGTGTCTATATTTATCCAGTTTTGGCTAATATACCTGTTCATAACATTGTACCCAGGAGTTTCCCCAATAACATATGCAATTAGAGCACATTTCCACTTTTCTTCTTCTGGTTCTACTTCCGCTGCTTCCAATTGCACCATCATTTGTCCATCTATAATTTACGGTGGGATATAGGTTAATGCCATACCATTAGTTGCAGATCTGTTCCTTTTGAACAAGTTTGTCCATGCTCTTGCCGGATTAACTGTTTCTTCTGCTCGATCTGCTGGCATTTGCACTGGATTCACTTTTCATTGACCTTCATCTCAGTCATTGTTCCATTGCTTTGAGTTGTCCTTAGTTCCATGGATTTTTGCGTTAGGACCTCTGTATTAGTCTCCATAGTGCTCGTCTTCACCAGATCCTTTGGCATCTCTTTATTTTTTGAAGTAGATCCTTTTTCAACAGATCTAATTTCCTCAGCTAGCTGCACAGGAGACGCCATTGGTGTACTTTTAGGTGTTGCTTCTCCTTGAATCCGAGCTCCAACTGAGCTCCCAAAAGCTATAATAGGTATTTTCCTAGGTCGACCTCGTCCCCTTCCTCTTCCCCGACCTCTCGCCCCTGCCATAACTACACCGACGTATGTTTAGCTAACATGCGCCGAGAGCACGAGTGAAGGTAGAGAGAGAAAGCTTCTTCCTTATAGTTGTCTTCATAGGTCCTTACTAATAATACGATAGTGGCTGAGAAGAATATGTCAATGACAAGCTTTGAGGTATTGAGGAAGCGAAAAATGACGTTGTATTGATTTTTTTAAATTATGCATGTATTTTGGCTATTAAAAATATTTTGAAAAAATAGTCTTGCGTCAAATTTTAAAGTATGTTGGGCAAAATTTTTCTCTATCGTCAGAATTTTAAAAAATGTGGGGCGGAATTTTGAAGCATGCACTAAATTCCAGTGATCGTTAGGATTTTATGCAAAACTGTGACCATCACTAAATTTCAGATGCAATGCTGAAAAAGTATGATGATCCATCATCATTCTGGTGGAAAAATCTTGATGATCATCATAACTGTTGCGTGCTTTAACATTCTGCCCATCGTGCTTTATAATTGAGAAAATCCTGCCAGCGTGCTTTAAAACTCAGGCATAAGGCCTTTTTTTTCACAATTTCTATTATTAGGGTTAAAAAAATCAATAGTAGCATAGAAATATCCTATTTATGTTATTCTTCATTGAGGAACAAAAAGTTGCATCGATTATCCCCCTAAGAAATTGGCCTTTAACTATTTTTCTCGTTTTTTGCTTAGTTACAAAAATAAGCTTCTTCTTCACCAATAATACCATAGTTCTTTCGTATTATAAAAATCTCGAAGGCGCAAATTAGAAATTAATGTGGTTATTATTAAAATCGTTTGAATATTGATAATTTATGCTTAAGTTATAGTTCAACCACTACTTTAGTGACTTGCTTTAAAAATCTCAAAACTCCATTATGGTCCTTAGAAAATGTTGGAGAAGACAAAGTGAGTCTTCTTGATTTGGTGTCATTTGACTAAAATTGAAGATCATTTATATCGGTATGTGGAGGCTTTATTTTAAATTTGAATCATTTGGAGTAGATTTGAGGTAATTCAATCAAAATTGGAATTGCAAATTTCTTTGTTGAATCACACAGATAAATTATGTTAATCAGGTAGATTTTAATGAACAATTTAACAAATCGACCGATTACAGATAACAGAAAATCACGCCAATCTGGTAGAGCTTGGTGAACAATTAAACAATCACAAATTCTTAGCAATCGGGGAGAGTTTGTGAGCGATTAACAATATAAATCGAGTAAATATAATATAAAATCTACCAATTTCGATAGAGAAATTTCTGACAAGCAATAAGTATGTGTAAGAGTGAAAGTCAATTTCTAAACATATTCAAAAGGGACAATTTTTGTAGATCAGACCCTAGGTCATTCCTCAATCACCCCTTGAGGAAAGGATGCATACTAATTGGGCTTTGCAATAGCTTGGACTGTTTACAGACTAGCTCTGCATCTTCTACCAAAATGACGTGTGGCCCAATCATCCCCACTTCAAGAAACTATTGGCCTTGGTGCAGATTAAGCTGGGTTTGTTTTTGAAATAGAGTTTGCTAACTCAGTTGTTGAGTTTAGGAAGTACTGTTACAAAAAGTATTTGTTTGAGATGTTTCTATGAGAAAAGATTTTCAATCTTTTCAAAACTCAAAAAAGAACTGCTTTCTCTTTGGAAAAATGCTTCTCTTTTTTAATTTAGACATTACCAAGTTTCACTTCAGTCCGCTACCATTCTCTTTATCGATGTGAGGTAACATACAGCTCTTACATTCATTATAACAGAATAAATGATATATTTATCATATTAGCATATATGATGAACGTACATAAAGGATTCACGTAGTTAACGCCGAATAATTTAGAATTGAAGCTAATTGATTGATATTAAAATCATCTCAACTAAAGTTGCAGTCACTCGTTTATTTTCTCAAGAATGCTTGTAAATTTTTAAGTGAACAATTAACTTTAAATGTCAGTTGTAATTCAAATTATTACTCACTCAGTTCTCATTTATGTAATAAAATTTTCATATTAGTCCGTCTTAAAAAAAATAAAAAAAATGACACATTTTTATTTTTTAAAGCAATTTAACTTTGTATTTACTCATTTTACCTTTAGAAATTTTTATAGCCACATGGAATATTTAAGACGCAAGTTTCGAATGTCTAATAATTATATAAGTATTACGACTTGTTTAAGATTATAAATTTCAATATTAAATACCGCGCAAAGTCAAACTACCATGAAGATTGATTGAGGTTGAGCAAAAGATGGTTGATTAACAAGGCAAAGTCTTGCTTAACTCATGTATTTTCCTTTCAAATTCTGAAAAGACAGACGAAATGGGGAGAATAACGAGAAGGCCAAGATGTGCTATTTTCATATGGAAAAAACAGGACCCAAATGATCGGTTTTCTCGGTGAATTCAATTAATAATGCAACTCACATGAATAGCTGTGTAGGCACTGTCTCCGCACGTGCTGGACATTAATATCCATCATTCCGCAATTAAAGCTTGCCATTTAATTTGCAACGTTTACATCTACCAACATCCACACATTTTTTAGCAGCTAATTAATTGTGTAGAATAAACGTGTAAATGGATAATTGGAAGTAGAAAATAGATAACACATGACAGTGTCCGCCATCTTCCTTCTTCCTGGATATGGAGCATCAACGGCAGATTAAGAACCCGTTTGGATTGGCTTATTTTAAGTGCTTTTAAGTTAAAATAACTTTTAAGTCATTTTGTAGTGTTTGAATAGAGTAAAACACTTTTTTAAAGCTAAAATCACAAAAATAAGCCAAAAGCCAAAAACTAGAATTCCTAACTTATGGCTTAAAAGTTATTTTAGCTTAAAAATCACTTAAAATAAGCTCATCCAAACGGACTCTAAAAGTGCTTTACGTATTGTGCTGGATCTCACCCATCACACGACTCTTAAAACATTTTGATTTAGGATTCTTTTTCTTAGGTCACTTGTGATATACAAGGACTCATGCAATCAAACTAGCGGAAAATGAAAGCAGAGATTGATATATATCATTGCCTATGTTACTGTCTGAATATGTATCTTTAAAAATCAATCAACCAAAGAAGCAATAGCAAGTTAAATCAAATTTACAATGAACATATGAAAGTTCTTTACATTATTGAGAATATATATCAAATTCTAAAACTTTAGCCTGGTTTTCACCATTGTGGAGAAAAAAAAAGATGATTTCTCTTGTTGCAGTTGGGGAAAGAAAGACAGGTATGGTGGAGGTAGGGATACCATGTTACATCACGTGAAAAACCGCATTTGCAGATCACAATGGAAGAACCAACAAAAAGAGTAACGTTGTAATATGCAATTACACAAGAATGGTATATATAGACTAAGAAGTCAACAGGGTTATAGTCTTAACAACGTCTTTGTTGGCTCTTGGGGGCACATCTGGAAAAACCTAAATCAGTTCAGCGGTAGCATCATATTTTACCAAACCTACACTTTTTTCTGGTCATCTGTAACTCAAATGGGACTGTAAGTGTCGGAAAGAAACCCAATAACAATAAACTATCAATTGTTGCAGATCTGAACTTTGCAGCTTAAACAAGAGAAAGATTAAAATAGAATGAAAAATACCTTCCATTTCAGAAACAAAGTTCGGTATCTCAATTCTCAACTTACTAATGACAGCAGAACAAAGGCAAATGTTTACTAAAAAGCGGAAGTCATTATTGAGTAAAGATCTCAACTTCTATAAGTACAAGTCCAAGTCTCTTTACAACTAAACCTTTGCATTACTTGGTTAAAAAGTTAGCTAACTTCTTAATAATGATGGTGGAGACAGAAAACAGTTTGACCTTTCATGGAAAAAAATTATTTTACTCAAATGACAGTCTGGATTCGGATCAGTGAGTCCCACAAAGAAAAGGAAGACAAGCTTGTGCCATAAAAGAATTGCTGTGTCATAGCAGGGCACTTCCTCATGATCTCTTTACTTCAACTAAAATAAAGGTATTCCTTCCATTATGTACTCAAAAAAGTACGACACATCTAGCTGTTGTTATTTGATACTCAATATTTTATTATATTCATTTTCTTTTCTTCTTTTTTCTTTCTTCTTTCAACTTTTACACCAAGCAAAGCATCTGCAACCTTCAACTAGAGCCTAGATGACAGCTTTATCTCTACTCTGAAACCAAAAAATACGAAATACAGAGTAAAGTGAAGCAGTCAACTTTTCTCAAATTCCAAAGAAAGGTCAGGCAGATTCATTTTCTGATTTAACAATCATGTTCAAATCATCAAAATGGAAAAAGGAGAAGATCAAAGCTGTATTCAGAATGCAGTTTCAGGTAACACAGGTATGGTAACAGAAAGGTGGAAATTTGTTTTGTTTTCCGTCCATTTCATAAGGGCCAGTTTCTTCTCAAATGCTGTTAACTGCATCTAGTAACCAATAGAGAGTATTCAGGGTGATTGCAGTCGTCTACAAGCTTGATTCAATATAAGCTATATTTTTGGAATTTGATCCCACTGAGCTCCTCTCTGCCTTCCAGGGCAGGGGTAAGGCTGCGTACATCTTACCCTCCCCAGACACCATTTGTGGGAAACTACTGGGTTTGTTGTTGTTGATCCCACTGAGCTAACGAATCTCTCACATTATGATGATTTCAGGTGCCTCAGCTAAAAGCAAAAAAACTAATGATTTCACTAGTTCCAGCAGATGCCGGAAAGCCAACAGTGAGACTAGGAAAAGCAGCAATTGTGGAAGGAACCTGTTCATGGGAGAATCCTATCTACGAGACAGTGAAATTAGTCAGGGATCCAAAAACAGGACAAATTAAACAAAATATTTACTACTTTGCTGTGGCATCTGTAAGTTACAGAATTGCAATCTCCATGTGCACTCTGACCATATTCTGTTGGAATATTTGCTCACTACTCGTAGACATGATGTTATCTCAGGGATCATCAAAATCAGGTTTCCTGGGAGAAGTTGGTCTCGATTTTGCAGATTTGGTAGAGGCAACTGAAACCTTGGTAGTATCTCTACCCCTAATGCCACTGGAGACTGGCGCAATTTTACATGTATGCCCTCTATCTCCTCTCCCTAACATGCACACACAGAGACATGCACACACACAGACATGCACACTCTGCACCTCAAATGGGAAACCAAACAGAAAATAGATTGTCTAAGAATGGGAACTTTGTCATAATGCTTGCAAACAAAGCAAACAAAAGCCTTTACATTAAACTGTGTTGTTCTAAAGATATACATTTGAAACAGGTCGCAGTACAGAATATGCAAGGAGCTCATGGGACCAGGTGATTAAGCATTTCACACCACAATAAACATGTTATCATCCTGGCTTCAATTATCTACAAGTTTGAGTACTAAAGTAGAGTTTTAACAAAAAAAATTCAGGTGCAGTGAAGATAGTTCAATTTCAAGGACTGAATCTCTAGATCAGAGTTTTGAAACAGAACTAGGGAGCGATGGTCATTATGGAAATGGACAGTGTACATCTATTGAAGTAAGATCTCATATTTATTTACTTTTGCATTGATAAACAAATGGAACTTGGGCCTAACTCAATCCCAAAAGCTAGCTCAAGAGGTGAGGATTGCCCAAGACCATATAAAGAGACCAAACACCCCACCAATAGCCGATGTGGGGCACTAACACCCTCCCTCACGCCTAGGACTGAAGTTCACTTGTGGATTGAACATCCGACTTACAAGAAAGAGGAAGGGTTTAAGGTTTTCCGGTACATTTCAAAGAATCTGAATAAAGCCTTATGTGAAAGGTGTTTGCCAAAACCATTATAAACACTTGGTAACACATACACAACAAATATAGGAACATTTTAAATCCCTATCAACCATATCATTTATTGTTACACCTGTATGTTTTCAGCAACTAGAACCCTTTTTAAGCCCCCTATACTTGTATTAATTGAACTTTACATTTTCCCAAAGAGAAAATTCATGAAACATTTGAGAGAAGCTAAAATGCAGAAGACAAAAGCAATCAAATACAGCAATTCAGATAGAGGCAAATGTGGCAAGTATTCCCTGGGCTTCAAATACATCTTGCCCATGTTGTCCTAGACTGATAGAATAACACTTTTAAAATTTCCATGCTTCATAGAAACTATTTGTATCTCATAGCTGCAAATTGCAACTGAACTCTTTGTTTCATCTTCCCCAGGGTGAGGATTTGAATGAACCATCTCATTATCTCAAGAAAAATAGTGTCCCACGGGATCCTCAACCAAAAAACAGTTTTGTGAAACAGTTCACACCCCAAAATGCAGTTAATCCCCTCGAAAGTCATCTACATCAGAGATCGTCCACAGATTGCTCGCTTGGCTCTGATTTAGATGGGAGTCTAATTGATACAACATACAAATCAGAGGAGGACCTTCTGAGAGACAACGCCCAAGAAACTTCAAGTAACAGTTTTGAGTCAATGAAAAATAAGATCACAATGCTTGAGAGGCAGGCAGAATTGTCAGAAATAGAACTACAGACACTCAGAAAGCAAACTGTGAAAGAGACCAAAAGGGCACAGGAACAGTCAAGACACATTGCCAACCTAAAAGAGGAGAGAGATGTCCTTAAAACCGAATGTGAGAAACTTAGACTGAGATGCACAGATAGGGTGGAGGCAGTAGTTTCAGATAGTATAGGATCGGACGACAAAAGTTCGACAGCTCTATTGAAAGAAATTAGGCATAAACTTCAGAATGAGAAGAACTTAAATAACAAATTGATGCTGAAACTGCAAAAGACAGAAGACTCAAATTCTGAACTCATTCTTACAGTAAGAGACCTCAACAAAATGTTGGACCAGAAAGACAAGGACATTTTGTATCTTTCCGAAAAAGTTAGGTCCAATAAGGATTTGCTAGAGGCTGTTGCAGAATCAAACCATCTCAAGATTGGTCAGAATGAAGATAGAAAAGCTAAGGAGCTTAAAATTGCTGATGTATCTCAAGCAATGAAGCAGACAATTGAAAAACTACAGAATGAAATAGAGGTCTACAAGAAAGACAACGAAGAGCTGAAAGCACAGATGGATCAGCTTGAAAGCCATTGTCAATTGTTAAAAGAGGAAAATGACGAAATTAATCATAACCTAGAGCAATGTGAGCAGCAAAAGGTGAAAACTCAACAAGAACACTCAGAATCTTTAGCCGCTGTTAAGCACTTTAAACTCCAGGTGGAGCGGCTAGAGGAAGAAATGAAAAGACAAACATTACAGTACTCAAAATCATTGGATACGATAAACGAACTTGAAACAAATGTTTCAACGCTGGAGAATGAACTGGAAACGCAGACACAGGAATTTGAAGAACATCTGCAAGCAGTCACCCAAGCCAAAGTTAAGCAGGAGCAGAGGGCCGTAAAAGCAGAGGAAGCATTGAGAAGGGCAAGGTGGAGTAATGCTAAGGCAGCTCAGAAGCTTCAAGAAGAATTAAAAAGGCTATCAGATGAAATGACATTGAAGATTGATGAGAGAGAAAAACTGGCCAGTGATGCGGTGATAGAAGCAAATATTCTGCGTGAGGAGAACAAAATTTTAGAGGAATTGCTGCAGAAATCCGAAGAAGAATTTAAATCAGCAAAAGATCATTATGAAAGAGAAGTTCTTCAGCTGAAAGCTTCATCAATGGAGGTTGGAAGACCAAAAATAGCAGGGTCAGGGCACTGCAAAGAAATGGAGCGTAGAGGAGAAGTCAGATATGATGCGCAACAAATGGAAAAATCAACTGCTGAAATGGAGATAGAACAAAAGTTGAACAAGGAAAAGGAATTGGAGAGAGAGCTAGCTTCAGTGAGGAGGGAAGCAGAAATGTTCCTGGAGGAATTAATTCCCCTGAGGACTGAAGATGATCAAAAGAAGAACGTAGAAGAGACCTTACAATCAGAAGTAGAGAAGCTACAACTTCAGAATGACGAAATGAGATGCAGTACAGATCAACTAAAGTTGGAAAATGAGAACTTGATGAAGTTGGTGCTCAAATTACAGGGACACCGCCAAGAGAAGGAACAGGTACTTTACATTAGAAATAAGTTACACACCTAAAACGTGATGATATTACTCATTTCAATATAGAAGCCTTGAGAAGAGAAGAAACTGGTCCACTAAATGTTTTAGTGTCTATCCCTTTTTTCAAAAATAATATTGAATGCCTACAAGTGAATTAAATTCAGAGAATATTATAAAGAATAACAGTGATGACATTCACAAACAGGTTCCTTTCTAGGTAAGTATAAGCAATTAAGCATTCATCAGGTTGATGGGGAATTTTATCCCATTTTCTATGATATATTTCCCTTTTAGACACTCGGTATTTGATGCTTCTACAAATGATGACAATCTATACAAGTTCTGCATGCTCCAAGAATCCAAATTCATGGAACAGCTTCGTGTTCTAGTATGATGTCACGGTTCCTGGAGCTTCAGCACATACTTCACAATTCCTAGTACTTCAATACTTTCTTCTACAACTATCATCTTCATGCAAGATAAATTGCCAAATCATATGGAACAAAGAGAGTATCTATTAAACCATTGACCTAGATTTTAAGTACATATGCACAGACATAAAATGAGTCGCTTCCTCTGAAAACCAACTTGTTGACATTTTGTGTCAATTTTCCTACACCTTAGAATCTTGTATTCTCATTCAAGTTTTTAACTCGGCTTAGAAAAAGATTCACAGAAGTCTTCATGAAACATCACTACAATTCTAAAGGAACTGCTGGTCTTGACATACAGGAGGATGAACCACCTGAGGAGGCAACTCCGGACATTATTGTTGCTGGAGGAAGAAATTGTATTAGGGAGAACATTCACCACCAACAGGATGCCTTTACAGAAGAAAGATTTGTGCAGAATGGACCCAGAAAAATTGCAAATATAACAAGGTAAACTAATAGGACTACTGAACCATTGCTATGCATCTATTCATATAAATTTATCAACAAGAAACTGCAGTTCTGTGGAAGGATAAAGCAGACACAAATCTTAATTTTATGCTCCTTCTGCAGTAGAGAAGTAGATCCAGGGAGAGCGTCAGAAACGATCAATGGCCATACCCAAAATATACTTGATCCAGAATTACTAAGTGAAGTAGCTTTATTGAAAGAGAAAAACAACCACATGGAGCATGAATTGAAGGAAATGGAAGAGAGATATTCAGAAATAAGTCTCAAATTTGCAGAAGTTGAAGGTGAAAGGCAACAACTTGTCATGGCTTTACGCAATTTGAAAAACGGAAAGAGGTAGCAGTCTGTCCACTGGAAAATAAATGATTGAATCATTAGATTTGCGCAAAAGCAACCTTCTGTAGAAGATAATGAAGCAGCCAAAAATAAGGTCTGAATATGCAGATTCCCTGGCAATTATAAGTTGCTTCCATCTCAAATTATCAACTTCCATGTCATAGACAAGCAATATTGTCGTGGTAACCGTGGTAATGAGGGTCATGCACCTGTTAGAATCTGTTGTTATCATTATCTTCTATCCATTTTTGTCCAACACAATTTGTCTACTTACTAGATTATATGCAAGCAGTATATCCAGGTTTCCTTCCTTTTGTAAGAATTTACATAATATCTATAGATCAGTTGCTAATGTTCACAAATTATTCAAATCATAGAAATGTGAACAAATTTTAAAGTATGTCAACTTTTCTGTACATAAAAGAGATCATTTTGGGATAGACAAGGAAGAACTAGTATGAGTCTACAAGCAAGTCATTCAAACTTGTATGTAGTCCTTTACCATGATCATGCATGGTGGTTTGTTTCAGATACTACCCACAATGCAGATCAGGCTGCACAGAATCCATGCAAGCGTGGTACCCTACCCCCCCCCCCCCCCTCCAAAAAAAAAGGCAAAGAAGGGGGGAAATTATTCATAATAAGGTCATTTTTGTTTGTTTTAAGTGCAGGCTTCCTTCAATATCATCAGCGCAACTTTACCTTAGATAAACCAAAAAGCCTCAGATGAAAGTCAGAAGCCTTGTTACAAGTATATTCTTTAGCTTTCAGTACTCCGTTTACAAGTATCAACATTAGCTTCTCTAGTCATAACATGTTTATATTATAGAAGTATATCACTAGATTAAAAATAAGAGGTTCGGTACATGGTAAACGACATTTTTCCGACACCAGCAATTGCAGAATTATGCAATATGAGTTGTAAAAGATCATGTAATTTGATAATATTTAATGTCCCAGGAATGTAAGGTTTAAAAAAACTCTATGAGCTGACACTTACTTGAGCTCAGTTGTATTGGCCCAATATACCTCATAAAAGAGAGTTAATATCGTCTACCCAATGTATGAGAGTTCTTATCACTCCATATCAGGTTAGTTTGCCCTCCATTTCCATTTGTTGCAAATGATAGCACCTGCAGTTAGTCAAACTGTGAAGAATTGTCCAATGAGGATATATCAAATTATTTGAAAAGAAAAACAGTTCAAATTCAGTTAAAAACCAAAATATCATTTCAGCAGGCATACCCGTTTTGCCCTCTTATCAATGGGTGTCCATGTTGGAATAAGACGATCTGAAGCCTTCTCAGTAGTGGATGCTGGTTGCTGTATGCATTTCTTAGGCCTCTTTCTCCCGGTCCCTGCCTCTTGGCAACTGTTTCCTTGATACTTGTAAAATTCAATAGTAGATGGACTCTTTCTATTTGTGACTTCTGATGATTTGTCGGGGTATCCGTACCAAGGGGCTGATAGGTCACGTGGGAGAAACTGCTGACGTGACCGACTCTTTTCCCTCATTTTGTTCAGAAATTCAATTGTCCAGGGTGAACCTTGCTGCAATCGAGTGGATTGACGTGCGCTTGAGAGTGGTGTCTCGCCATAACAAGCTGTACTATTGTCTTGCATAGTCAGGTCACTCAAACATTTTACTTTCTCAGATACACCCTCTTCTGTGACACCTTTCTTGTGCTTAATTTGACTCTTTTTATGATTGAAACCTGCATTTAAATGCTGTCCCATTCCTTGCCCTGATCCTTGTCCAAGGTCTCTCACAGAAGTGCAGGCATCTGGGCTAGAGTCAATATCCACAGTGGTTGGGAATTCTTGGATACCACTTGCTCCAAAAAAGAGTTTTTTAGCAGCTTTAGGAACCCCTGTTTTGGACCCTTCCATTGCATGCTCCAGGGTAGAAAAGGACTTGTATTTTGCATTACGAAAAGCTTTTCTAATTGCAGGAGTATCATCAATATCAATAACCTCATCTGTGATATCCTCTTTAAAATTTCCTGAATAGTTATTTTTTCTATCCAATTTGTTCATCATACCCACGTAAACTCTCTCTCTTGGATGCAAACACACATCAATTTGTGGAGCCTCAAGTTTATTTAACTCATCTCCCATATGTGGATCTTTTCTCATCTGATAATCGCAGAGCTCAGTTACCTTAAAAAGATCTTCTGTCCCATAGGTGTCTAATGACTGTCTTTGAACACACAATTCTGTGTCAAATGATAAGCTAGAATTCCCAAATTCATCAAAAAAGTCGATATCTTCTGAAATCCGAGAATCGCACTGGCCAGATGCTCTGGGATGATTCAGTCTGCCTTCAGAAAATGTTCGTGGTGGATCAAAATCAAACAACTCATTTGTAGGCATATTAAGATTTTCAATATTCCAGGTGGTTTTTCTTTTCGTCCCCACAGAGTTGCTTTTAAAATGAAGACTTTCAGAGCCCGGAGCAGAAGAAACTGAAGAGGAGCAATCTGTCATTCCCGATTTAGAATCCTCCCGCTCCCCAAATCTGCTCAAAGCACTCAGTAATGTGATGCTTTCATCAGGAACCTGATATTTCTGGACTGCATGAATTCTGCATTCATGTGTCCATTCCAGAAACTCAACAAGCAAGCCCGCTGAAGACAATATTGCATGTGCTGAGAGTGGATTGATTGAAGGAAATGCAGAAAGGAATGATTCTGCCAGTGTTTGTGTCTCAAGCATCTTAGGATAAAGTCCTCTGCTTGTCCTCAATGAAAGTTCAATGCACGATAATATGATCTCATCAGTCATTTTAGAAGAATATGAATAAAAGATCCGTATATCCATGCCCAAGCTAGCAGCAGCAGCATAGAGCTCATCAGATGACTCCATAATTCCGGCTATAAAGTTGCTTTCTCCCTCAAAGACCTAAAGAAATGGCCAAGAAATACTAAATTTATCAACAAAACATTATGAGCAAGCTTTGCTCGTGCTAGACTATCTTGGTCCATTCTAAACTATGAGAAATAAGTCCTCTTATTTCCATTTCCAGTCACAGTTACTTCTTTCAGGTGATCTAGCATATTCAAGAATAACCATGTAATGAAGATCATCCGCTTGTGCTTATATCATAATGTAAACAAGGAAACTTGAAGTTGGGAGATATTAAGTGCACATGGTGATAGTAGTCAGTTATCAACATGTTCACCGAGGCCAAAAAGAAGGCTTATCTCAAGTTGATCATTGGCATTACATCTGCATTGCAATTGTGACCAACTGGAGCTAAGGAACGAGGAACAACTGTGAGATTGGAAGCGTAAAGAAACAAGACAAGTCTGAGAAGTAACTTTTGAATTCCTCTTTTAGCTAATACGTTCATGATAGTTTTTCAATCTCCAGGAAGTTCTAAAATAGGTCCACCAGAAGAAAGACCTACGCATAGAAACATAACTCTTGCAATTTTTAATACCAAATTGATACCCCAATGTCTTCTCTATATCATCAGATTGTCATAACTTTTCTTACTCCTTCAATGATGTTAGTTCCAGTAATTGCATATTTACTTGCTATCAATTCTACTGAGTATTACCAAATGACCATCTTGAAGAATATTCAATATTTGAACGTAGAAGAAGTTAAAAGTAAGCTAGAGATAGAAGAGCACTATTATGAAATGATGGTTGAGGGTGTCAAGACAAAGCAAAGTAAAGATCAGTAATGACAGTAGCTGGAATCGGACTCTCTGGTACTTGGCGTATTGTAACAAGTAGCAATGGTGGAAGGACAATGACAGTAAGACACTACAAGCAATCAGGGAATGTAACTCAGTGAAGTGTATGTACGTGGAATGTTAAAAAATTTAGGAATAGCCTTCAACTTTTCAAATTAGTATTGTCAACTACGTCCGTCTCTCACTATTGACATTTTAGTCATGATCTAACAATTGCTGCAACTGCAATTAAATGAACAAAGCACAGGGCATAAAAATGTTATCTAGGCTTTTCTCTAAGTGGAAGTAAACATTTTAAGACCCTATAAATACACATAGAATGAACTTATAAAAGCATGAATATTTTCTTTTCCCAAATAAAATGGGAAAGTCGAAAAAGAAAAAACGTCTCAAGCATCAAATCATCTCATATAACTGGTCTGCATAGTTCTCCAAATATATTAAGGACACGGTTTTTCTAATAGGAGAAAACGACTTGATGTTTCCCTGTCTCATATTCATGAATCCACACTTCCCTCATAGGGAACTAATTTGATAGAACAATCTTCAGACATAATTTATGAACATTCCTTTTCTGATCTCAAACACTTGGGTTTTCAGCTATTAATCTGTATATTTCCTATCTTACAGGGTGGAAAATCATTCAGAAACTTACTAAGTCCATTGTTTTTTTTTTTTTTTTAGGGGGGGGGGGGGGAGGGGGGTAGGG